CATGTTTATTCTGTTAACTATTTGTATTCTTACAAAATACATTCATGAATATAAGATGGAAATCATGAGAAAAAGAAAGGCTTCTAATAATCTTTCTGTTTGTGATAATTCCTTCCTTCCTTAAACTTAAAGTATTATAATGGGAATATATCATCTTGGAGAGAGAGCAAGCACTGTCACTGTTAGTGTTTTCTTTTTGTTTTCATTTTTGAAAAACGTATCTTTGCGGTTTACCTCATATTACGCTATGGAGGCTCTCTTATTTATTTATTTGATTCCTCAGTGTTTGATAAACGTTCTATAATTTATTAGTCGGTATATAATACAGCATGTGGTGTGTGCCATGCGTCTTACTCGTTTTTGTTAAACGTTTTGTAAGCTAGTTTGTCACTGTATCTTACTGATTTATTGTTGTTGTGCTTTTTCGCGAATTTGAAAGTGAAAGCATCCGAAGCCCGCGGCTTAACACAGCAAAAGAGAAACTCCCGTTCACAAAATTCAAATTACAAATAATACTACTGATGATAAAGAACGGGTTGAATGTTAACCACTTTCGTTTCCATATAACTATAAACTATGATAAAAGTTCATCAGCATGCATTGAATAATCCCATGTTGTAGCGCAAAAAAATATATAAATAAATATTGGGACCAAATCATGTGCTCGTGCGACCAGCTGAGAAAGTTAGTTGCAAAAGAGCGAAGAATGAGTCTGGTATAGGCTATACAGTGCATGAAAAGCAAACTGGTGCTCTTCGGTTTCGTTTGGTGTATGACTCACCCTTGTCTCGTATAAAAAGCACAATAATCGCGGTTGTCTGAAACAACTGCGGTTAGATCAAATAATCGCGATTGGACGGTTATTTAATTATCGCGACAGGCCTACGTATAATGCATCCAACATGTAAAAATATACAGTCTACTCCACTTTGTGTTCTTTTAATTTAACCATGATGTATTGATCTTCTATTGGTCATGTCTTGTTTGATTAATTCGCAGGTCCAAACTCGAACTTTGTAGAGCAGCGAAATGCAAAACATTTTAACAAAAGCTTGCATTTCTGCTCTCTTGCATTCGTATGTGTTTAAATGGAAGTAAATTGACAAAAGTGTAGTGTGACACTTTTACTATTTCAAAGCCAGAAAATGCAGATAGTGGTTTTATTGAAGCTTGGGTCAGTAACTCGCGTCGAAATGTGTGAACTGAGACTTCAAGACATCATATCCCATAAAATTACATTTTTGGTAGTGTTAAGTTAAATATTACCCTGAATTGATGTATATTTTGTATCAAGTTTAAATGTACAGCAAAAAGTTTTTAGGTTTGTTCCTTAAAAGCCAGTAATATGTTGATTCTGTATAAGCATTCCGTTTTATAGTGTGAATTGAGTTAGAATTGAATGCCCATTTGTTAACCTTTACTGTATTATTCCTCTTCAGATTTCTATAATAACGGAGGGTCTAATGATGGACCGGTGGCCTCAGGTCCTGGATCATCAGGTCCAGACACAAACCTGTCTTCTGGAGGTGCTGCAGGGGCGGGTGGTTTCGGCTCGTATTACCAGAGTGATGGCAGCTACTCGTCCCCCACTGGAACCCCAAAACCGGCCGGTAATAAGCCGCCCATGCACCAAAACACCAAGCCTCAAGGATCCGGAGTGGGCCAAGGGGGTTCCTTCGGTCAGTACGGCCAGGGCTTCGGACATAAGAAGAACTTCGGCCAGGCTCAAGGTGGTGGTGGAGGAGGAGGTGGAAACTTCAACTACAGCACTGCTTATCCCTCACAAGTGACCGGAGGACAGGACTACAGCTATGAAGGTGAGAAAAACAGTCCGAGTTACAAATTTGGGAGTCTTAAAGGAATCGTTCACCCAAAAATTAAGACTAGCTGAAAATGTACTCGCCCTCAGGCCATCCAAGATATAGATGCGTTAGGTTCTTCATCAGAACAGATTTGGAGAAATGTAGCATTACATCCGTTGCTCACCAGTGGATCCTTTGCAGTGAATGGGTGCCGTCAGAATGAGAGTCCAAACAGCTGATAAAAACATCACAATAATCCACAAGTAATCCACACCACTCCAGTCCATCTATTAACATCTTGTGAGATGAAAAGTTGTTTGTAAGAAACAAATGCATCAAGACATTTTACCTTTTAAACTGTTGCTTCCAGCTAAAATATGAGTCCTCTGTTCATAATATTGCTTTCTCCAGTGAAAAAGTTGTCTTCTGAATCAGGAGAGAAATATGCACAGATCAAACACTGTGTACAAGTGAAAACAGTCCAAAAGCAGCTCTAAACAACATGTTGGTGGATTTTGATGCGAGAGAACAAGGGATGAACTGTTCCACTGGAGGAAGCGTTATGATGGACTCATATATTGGCCAAAAGTGATGGTCTGAAGATAAAACACTTTATTGATGAATTTATTTACAAACATGCAGCTTTTGGCTTCACAAGACATTAACTGATGGACTGGAGTGGTGTGGATTACTTGTGGATTATTGTGATGTTTTTATCAGCTGTTTGGACTTTCATTCTGACGGCACCCATTCACTGCTGAGGATCCAAGTAATATAATGGCTACATTTCTCAAAATCTGTTCGGATGAAGAAACTAATTTTGCATGGCCTGAGGATGTGAATTTTCAGCAAATTTTCATTTTTGTGTGAGCTATTCCTTTAAGGCCCATAGAACTAAAATGACAATTATATTAGCGTCCATACCAATGTCGTGTTAGTTATAAGTGTGCTGCAGATACATAGTTTATTGCTTTAAATGCTCGTTTTTTTTTTTACTTGGGTAGATTCTTATTGCCTGTCAATGATTTTATCATGAATCAGCTGGGGAAAAAAATGTCTGAAAGTGATTCCAATTATATTGTGTCACTATTGTTATAGCTGTGGTCTTAGAACGATTATCATCCTTGGTGTGAATGGGTTTTAACTCTATTTTAAATGTTGTTGTGGTAATTCTGATCTGGTCTCTCTCATAGGTTACAGCAACCAGTCAAACTACAGCTCACAGGGCGGAGCCAACCAGAATTTCAGCGGTAGCTCCGCCTCCTACAACAGTGGACCAGCAGGGTACGGCCGGGGTGATCCCAGTATGAACTACCAGTATCGATAAACCTGCCTCCCTGTGTGCAGTCCTGCCTCATCATTTCCAAACAAGGAGCATCATCCGTTCTGATTCTGTCGTTCTCAATTTTTGGTTTCTATCACCAACACCTGAGCTAAAGAAAATAATAGCAGTCTCTAAACTTTGTGCAAAATAGTGTATTTTCATGTTTCTTTTGAAGTTTGTGCGTTTTTTTTTTTTTTTTTTAGTTACTTAAATTCTGTGAACTCCTCCAAACTACTGCCCTCAAACGGGAGAAGTAATATAAACCCAAAGCGATGCATGTGAGGACCTGATAATTTGTTAATATGCAGTGACAGGATGCTCTGTCCTTGAGTGATTTTAACCATTCACACATGCGTAAATATAAGATGAATCAGTCTCAAGCTGTAAATCATTAGTTTTATGATTTTTTTTAAATTTTTTTTTTCTCTATTTGACCAGCAACATTTCATGATTTTGTCTGTAATGGTAGGCTTTTCTTTTAAATTATGAAAGCACATGTGACATTGTTTTATATGGTTATGTGATAGTGAAAGTTGTGATGTGTCAGGTCGTTTGTAGCATTTGGCTGTTTTGGGTGGGGGACCTTTATTTTTCCGGACAATGTTTAAAGAATGTGTGGTGTTTGTAATAAAGGATTTTATTTTGGAGGATATCCGATCTCTGCATTGTTTTTGAATGCACTTCTCCAGGTATTTTGCTTATAGTTGTCTACACATAATACATACAGTTTGATCCAAAAGTCACATTGAAATCTAGTATTCAAAATGTAATGAAATAATCTAAACCTGAAAATACATTAAGATGTAAAAAGTGTTTTGTTTTATAAACAAATGTGAATGCGATTGAAAACGCTGGTGCTAATAATAATGCTAATCTTTTATGTTTGAAGGCGTAATAAATATAGATCCGCTTAAATATACAGATTTTTAAATAAAAAAAGGTTTGTGAAACTGGCTATTGAAAACTTAATGATTTGTTAAAAAGTGTAGAGAGCCGCTCTAAATACACATAAAAAAAATGTCTAATAAATACTTGTTTGTGGACGCCACAATTGAAAACGCCGGTAATAATAATAGTAATAATAATGCATATACAAATCTTTTATGTTTAATGGTGTAACGTTAGTAATACAGAGCCGCTCTAAATGTTCAGAATATTTGTAATAAATGTTTGCGGACCCCTTATTGAAAACTGCGGTAACGACAGCAACATAATAATAAATGTTTAATAATAAATACAGAGCCGCTCTTCCTGGTTTACGGTAAAATAATGTGCCGCGTTTTTGTTACGGAGCTTACGGCTGACGTGACGTCATGTCCGTTTCCCCATCCGAGCGCAAGGCGAGTCCAGCATGGCTGACACCGGGCTTTTAGAAGCACTCTTACGGCTGCTGGAGAAGGTGAACGGCGGCATCGAGAGCCAGGATGTGGCGGCGGATCTCGGGGTGGATCATCAGCTGATCGTCGGCGCGGTGAAGAGCCTGCAGGCGCTGGGAGAGGTGAGCCCGCTCTGACTGATGCAACAGCGGCGCAAACCAACCGGACCCATCCGATCCCCATGATCTCTGTGTTCATCACTGAAATCATGCGGATCAGCGCATTACAAAGAAGTCATCTTACAGACCTGTCAAAATAACTGTTGATATAAGCGAAACATAGTTAGGATATCTGTGTCTGTCTGTCTATCTATCTATCTGTACGATTCGTCTGTTTGTGTGACTCTCTATATGTCTGTCTGTCTGTCTGTCTATCTATATTATTCGTCTGTTTGTGTCTATCTATATCTGTATTATTCGTCTGTTTGTGTGACTCTCTATATGTCTGTCTATCTATATTTTTCGTCTGTTTGTGTGTCTATCTATCTATCTATCTATCTGTATTATTCGTCTGTTTGTTTGACTCTATATTTCTGTCTGTCTGTCTATCTATATTATTCGTCTGTTTGTGTGTCTATCTATATATCTATCTATCTATCTATCTATCTATCTATCTATCTGTATTATTCGTCTGTTTCTGTGTCTATCTATCTATCTATCTATCTATATTATTCGTCTATCTGTCTGTATTATTCGTCTGTTTGTGTGACTCTATATGTCTGTCTGTCTGTCTATCTATTATTCGTCTGTTTGTGTGTTTATCTATCTATCTGTATTATTCGTCTGTTTGTGTGAGTCTCTATATGTCTGTCTGTCTGTCTATCTATATATTATTCGTCTGTTTGTGTGTCTATATATCTATCTATCTATCTCTTTTGTTTGTTTGTCTGTTTGTGTGACTCTCTGTCTGTCTGTCTGTCTGTCTATCTATATTATTCGTCTGTTTGTGTGTCTATCTATCTATCTGTATTATTCATCTGTTTGTGTGACTCTCTATATGTCTGTCTGTCTGTCTGTCTATCTATATTATTCGTCTGTTTGTGTGTCTATCTATCTATCTATCTATGTATCTGTATTATTCGTCTGTTTGTGTGTCTATCTATCTGTATTATTCGTCTGTTTGTGTGACTCTATATGTCTGTCTGTCTGTCTATCTATCTATATTATTCGTCTGTTTGTGTGTCTATCTATCTATCTATCTGTATTATTCGTCTGTATGTGTGACTCTATATGTCTGTCTGTCTGTCTATCTATCTATATTATTCCTCTGTTTGTGTGTCTATCTATCTATCTGTATTATTCGTCTGTTTGTGTGACTCTCTATATGTCTATCTATCTATCTATCTGTATTATTCGTCTGTTTGTGTGACTCTCTATATGTCTGTCTGTCTATCTATCTGTATTATTCGTCTGTTTGTGTCTATCTATCTATCTGTATTATTCGTTTGTTTGTGTGACTCTCTATGTCTGTCTGTCTATCTATCTGTATCATTCGTCTGTTTGTGTGTCTATCTATCTGTATTATTCGTCTGTTTGTTTGTGTGTCTATGTGTCTATCTATCTATCTATCTATCTATCTATCTATCTATCTGTATTATTCGTCTGTTTGTGTGACTCTATGTCTGTCTGTCTATCTATATTATTCGTCTGTTTGTGTCTATCTATATCTGTATTATTCGTCTGTTTGTGTGACTCTCTATATGTCTGTCTATCTATATTTTTCGTGTGTTTGTGTGTCTATCTATCTATCTATCTATCTGTATTATTCGTCTGTTTGTTTGACTCTATATTTCTGTCTGTCTGTCTATCTATATTATTCGTCTGTTTGTGTGTCTGTCTATCTATCTATCTATCTATCTATCTGTATTATTCGTCTGTTTGTGTGTCTGTCTATCTGTCTATCTATCTATGTTTTGTCATATATTACTGTTAAATGCCATTAAGCACTTCGCAACTCTTTTAGAGGCCCTGTATTTTGTAGCATATTATTGTACATTTGCAGAACATTCCTGTTTTTCTTGACCCTTGTTAGTTTCTCTGAAGTTATAAGTATCAGTATATATGCTTCTTTGTAACAGAAACATGTGATTGTTTCTCTGTCTTAACCTGTTTGAATCCCGTTCTCAGGTGATCTCGGCGGAGCAGAAGTCCTCCAAACGCTGGGAGCTGACAGGAGAGGGCTGTGAGATCGCGGAGCAGGGCAGTCATGAAGCCCGAGTGTTCAACGCCATCCCAGACAAGGGTCTGCCGCAGAATGAACTCATGGTGAGAGATGAAAGAGTCGTCTATAGTCTATACTACAGGAGAAAACATGTATTTTGACTATAATGAGTGCCGCTAGGATAAATCTCATGAAAACAGAAAGTATTTTCTGCCAAGTTTATTTTAACTTTCTCATATTTAAACATTCTCAGCAGCTTACAATGCAAAAAGCTCTTTTTTACTGTGGAAAAACAATGTTATTTAAATTTTGTTATTAAAGTATATTTGTAAAGTACAATTGGACACATATATCATAGGAGTATGCATAATTGCATATATTATGCGAAATATACCCTTGTTTTTAATTATATTTAAATATATAATATATATATATATATATATATATATATATATATATATATATGTGTGTATGTTTTGCATCTGATATCTCATGTACCTTCTGATTCTTTTAGAAAATGCCGAGTGGGAAGGTTGGTTTCAGCAAAGCCATGTCCAACAAATGGATCCGTCTGGATAAAGCTCATGAGGGAGGACCAAGAGTCTTTAAAACCGTGAGTTACATGCTGCACATAAAATGAATTAAGCCTGAATCTCCCAGTGAATGTGTTATTAATGTAGTGTGTGTGTGTTTCAGGTGGAAACTATTGAGGATACAGTAAGGGACAAACTACAGCTGGTGCAGAAGGGACTGTCGGCAAAACTAGAGGACAAAGAGAAGAATGAACTCAAGAAACGTAAACTGCTATCGGAAGTGTAAGAGAGAGTGTTGAGTTTTTGCCTTTAACTTGTTGAAGTTGTTCATTTAATGCTACATGAGCAGTAGGAGGCGCTACAGCTCAGTAACAATCTCATCCCAGTTACCCACTTTTTCATCCCAGTTTTTTTTTTTAATGGGAAAACTATATAATGTATTCTTAATTTGTTAATGTATGAATGTTTAATTTCAGGACGGTTAAGTCATACTGGATCACTAAAGGCAGCAGCTTCAGTACCACCATCACCAAACAAGAGACAGAACTCACTCCAGAGATGATCGCCAGGTGAGACTAATCAGTTTCTCAAAAGGATGTAAAAATTGTTGAGGACCTAAATGTATTACACAACATCATGTTGCAAAGATGCAGTTCTGAGAAACAAGATTTTCCAACTACTTCTGACTTGTTATTAACAACTTAAAAACAGCACAATTTCAATTCTTTGTGTATTTGTAAGTTGCATGACTTGTGTTTTCAGTTGGGTTGAATGAAGCGCTTCACAAGTCTTTGGCTTTTAATGTTTCAGTGGAAGCTGGAAGGAGAAGAAGTTCAAGCCGTATAATTTCGAGGCGATGGGTGTCGCTCCAGACTGCGGTCACCTGCACCCGCTCATGAAGGTCCGGACGCAGTTCAGGCAGATCTTCCTGGAGATGGGGTCAGTCCTTTACCTTTGCATAACACTCTTCTGCCTCAGCTGATAAACCACCAGTTATCAGATTTATTGTGTGGACATAATACTTTGGGCAAAATGATTTCACACATGCTTGGTTAGTGTTTTTGTTGAGCAGTAAAAAATTAGAATGAAAAATTTTAAAGCGTGTCCTTAACCTAAACATTATGTCGATAATTATAATTAGACAATATTGTGCCAAGTGTGTTTTTGTGCTGGTATCTTTTTTCTGGTTTAGGCCTTTTATGGACAGCTGACTCCCCAAGCTTTAGTATTCATATTCTGTGCGATGGGTACTTCACTGTAGTGACCGAAAATAACTTCCACTATCCATTATGAGGCATTATTTGCGTCTTAAATCTGATTTCCCAGAGATTTTTACCTGTATTACTTTTTTTAACCTTATTAGATGTGCACATCACCTTTTTTGTCAAATTCTTACATTTAAGCAGTAAATTCAGATCAAAGGAAATCAGTATCAACAAAATCCATCTTGGCACTGCAGAAGTGGCACAGAAGCTGCGTCTGAAATGGCATTTAGATGTATTTTCACAGACTGCTCAGAGTTGGCTTGAATGCAATTTACAAATACTGTGACTCTTGTGAGATTTATTATTATTTTTTTTTTTTTAATGAATAAATACATTTTTGAATAAATAAAATTGTTTTTAAATTAATTATTGTTTTTAATAAGTATTTGATTTTTCTATTTATTTATTTTTATTTTTAGATGGAAAGGTACTTTAAATTAATCTAAAACATCCAGTAGGTGGCGGCAAGTCACTGTCAATGATTTGAGTCACTCATTTGAATGATTTGTCCAAACGAATGATTCATTGGGCTATTGAATCATTCATTAAATTGATTCGTTCAAAACTCTGATTCATTCAGCAATGAAGAACCGCGTGGTGTTGCTCAAAGATGCAAAACGGGTCTGCTGTGGTTTCTTTTGAAACTTTTCATTGATAAAATAAACCAGAAACAGAAAATGTGTACAATATTGTGTCTAAAATCAAATATTTTGTCTTCATATTTTATTATATCAATATGACAATTGCAATCATACTGATTTGAAGTATGTGTGAGTACCATAGTTACAGCGGCATGCGAAAGTTTGGGCACCCCTGGTCAAAATTTCTGTTAATGTGAACAGTTAAACAAGTGGAAGATGATCTCCAAAAGGCATAAAGTTACAGATGACACATTCCCTTTATATTTTAAACAAAATATATTTTTTATTTTCATCTTTTACATTTTCAAAATAACAGAAAAGAAAAAGGGCCCGCAGCAAAAGTTTGGGCCCCCTGCATAGTTAGTACCTAGTAGCACCCCATCCTCTTTTCAACTTTTCAACAGAATTTGTTGTAATCCATTGTTCCCTCTACCCGTGAAATGTTCCTCATGCCATTGACTGCAATACAACCCCAAAGCATGATTGATCCACCCCCATGCTTAACAGCTGGATTGGTGTTCTTTTCATGAAATTCTGTGCCCTTTGTTCTCCAAACATACCTTTGCTCATTGTGGCCAAAGAGTTCTATTTTAACCTGATCGGTCCACAAGACTTTTTTCAAAATGCATCAGGCTTGTTTAAATGTTCTTTTGCAAAATTCAGATGTTGAATTTTCTGGTAAGAAGGACATGGCTGCTGATTGTTGGGGGAAGGTTAGAGGAGTCTGGGTATTTATAAAGCTTTGAAATTTGCATCACCTGACCTTTCCAAACGATGACTGTGAACAAGCCATGACCCTAACAGGCTAATTAAGGTCTGCTACCTTGGTCAAAGTTATCTGAGAGCTCAAGTCTCCTGGGGTTCCCATTCTTTTGCAGGGTGCTGCTTTCCCCTTGTTCACTCTAAAATTGTAGGAAACAAAAACAATACACTGATATTGCTTAAAGGGTTAGTTCACCCCAAAATGAAAATTCTGTCATTAATTACTCACCCTCATGTTGTTCCAAACCTGTAAGACCTTCGTTCATCTTCGGAACACAAATTAAGATATTTTTAATCTGCGTAATCAGCCTTGGTTACGTTCGTGGGGAAAGCGCTCGCATGAACGTAATCTGCGTAATCAGCCTTGTTTACGTTCGGGGGGAAAGCGCTCGCATGAACGTAATCTGCGTAATCAGCCTTGTTTACGTTCGGGGGGAAAGCGCTCGCATGAACGTAATCTGCGTAATCAGCCTTGTTTACGTTCGGGGGGAAAGCGCTCGCATGAACGTTTGTTACGGTTGGGGGGAAAGCGCGCGCATGAACGTAATCTGCGTTATCAGCCTTGTTTACGTTCGGGGGGAAAGCGCTCGCATGAACGTAATCTGCGTAATCAGCCTTGTTTACGTTCGGGGGGAAAGCGCGTGCATGAACGTAATCTGCGTAATCAGCCTTGTTTACGTTCGGGATAACTTCATCGAGAGCTCCTTCTGGAACTTCGATTCTCTGTTCCAGCCCCAGCAGCACCCAGCTAGAGACCAGCATGACACCTTCTTCATCTCGGGTGAGGAATATCCACCTCTGTGCTTTCACTCATTCTGCAGGAGTTTGGACAACATACATTCAAAGCATATTTTTCAAATAATATTTTGTGTATTTCCTGCGGCTCTCTAGGACCGAACTTGCCTACCCCTGGTATAGAATAACTAATAAAAGACAAATTATTAAAAAAATAGGTGGTAATGCAATAACCTAATTTTAGAAGCAAAACTATTCGATTAAGTAGTGAAAGCATTAATATTGAAGTCGACATGAAAAGGAAATTAGTAGTTTTTTTCTTTCCCATTGTGGTGTATATCCGAGTGAAACGGCTTCTTTAAAGAACTGCATGAAAATTTGAAAAATTGTCATTTTTATCAGATTTATTTGCCTTTTTTTTTTTTTCTTTTTCCTCTGGTAGTCTGTAAGGCTCTGTGAAATGACAGAAATAATTTGCAGAAGCGATATAAAACTTTAACACATTCAACAAAGAATTTCTTCATAGCCTTGCAGTTATAGACAATCAGTCAACATTTAAATAATCAAAATATTTTCTGATTCAAATCAAAGTTTGTAATGTTTTGTTTCACCTTGTAGCTGATTGGTTGTTTCTTGGTTTCTAACTCTTAAAAAAAAAATTCCCTATTGGACAAAATTAATGGAAAAAAATATTGGTGTGCTCATGTCCTCCTTGGAAGTTCCTGTTTATGAGTTTGGAAGTCGTAATTAGTTATGACCTCAGATGAGTTCAAGTCATTTTGTAGGATGAGTAAGATGGCTATGTACCAAGAGCAAGATTTTTAAACTCAACTTTTACAAAATAATGAATAAAGAGTATGCATTAAGTTTTTGCTTTTTTTTTTTTTTGATTGTTTAGTTCATGAAAGCACTGTAAATTGAGTTGCTATATATTCGTAATTGTTTGATATAATCATATTTTGTATACGCAACTTAGCTAGTTTTACTGTAAATGGAAAAAAAAACATTTTAATACATACAGCCACTGCATCCATTGCGTCATGTTTTCTCACAGACACACTGCCAACTCGGAAACTCAGGGCTTAAAGAAAGTTCAATGTTTCCCACTCCTAATTAAGGCTTTGTGGTGGCATAAATGTGCGTTGAACTCGTAAATATTATTTTTTTGTCAGCACTTGAATGCACCAATACTTTCCAGTACTTACAAAGGCTGCTGAAAAAGCTTTTCTGTGCACTCTTTAGGCGGAAAGCTAACTGTCTGAACCAGTTTAGCATCATAAATCGTCCATCTCGCTCAATCTCTCTCAGGTCTGAAGAAGTGGGTGGAGGTGGGTAATTCTGGGGTCTTCAGGCCTGAAATGCTGCTGCCCATGGGATTGCCCAAGGGGGTGTCAGTCATCGCCTGGGGTCTGTCCTTGGAAAGGTACATTGACATGCACATATAAAATAGCTTTGTTGCATACAAAATCTCAGAGTTGGTTGATTGCTTCTCTTTTATTTTCACCCATCTTCAGACCCACCATGATCAAATATGGAATCAACAACATCCGAGAGCTCGTGGGCCACAAAGTGAACCTCCAGATGGTGTACGACAGCCCAATATGTCGACTGGACTCTTAAATGACCATCATACAGCTCAGCATATGGATTCATTTGTACTCGTGACAAATCAACTGCATTTTTATTGTTTATTTAAGCCATAACACACCCTGAACTACACTTTGCTGCTCAGCATTACTTACGAGGGCCATGTTGAACAGGCTGACGTCAAAGCAGAGGAAAAGAGTCACGTCTTTACATTGACCTTATTACATCACCACCTGATATAGAAATCCCTATTGGCCTCCACTCAAAGCTCCACTTCTGCTTTTATGTAGGTTAATTCTTTGGTTTCTGTTCCACACACACAGACACACACATATATATATGTGTATATACACATATATTAGCATCATTTTAATTGATTTATTGTCATTTTCCACTGCCCTTTTCCATGACAGCTCTGTAAAAGAACAGCCACCCAGTTTGTTCTCATAACCCAGAATGCAATGGAAACTATTAAAGTCCTCTTACTGTAGAAATATTAAACTAAAAATGTTTCAAATCTCCAGTATGACTTACTTAATGGTTGTTTATTATGAAACCACAGTTCTTTTACTGTAAGTGCATGCAGCTAAACCAGGGTCCTTTGCTGGACATTTTCCATGGCTGCATTATCATATTCCAGTACATTTATAAACATTTTGTGTTAGAGTTACAATTTTCTTTTTCAAATTAGAATTTCTTAAAATGTACTCCATATGTGTATATATTCAGGGCTTAAAGTTCTCCGGCACTGTGCCGGATCTCCGGCGTGCAGCGTTTGGCTGCGGAAAAAAATAGTCCCACATTTTAAAAAAAATCTTGTTGATTGATATCACTTTTGAGTCCACGAGTTTGCCTACCAATGGTATGAGAGGACCACAGCTTTCACTCTCAACCAAACTAACATTACTACTGCAGAGTCACAGCCCTGATGAATGGAGAAGCGCGACACATTGAAAAAGCTGCGAGGCACGATGTTCAAAGATGTCCATCTAGCGCATATTTACATAGAATAACTAATTAAAAAGCAGCGGAGCTTTGTAAACAGCTCAGAGTCATCATGTGACCTCCATAAAACATGTAATCATGTCATCTCCATAAAACGATATGATTTCCAGAACAAATTTACCGGGATTTTTGAAAAGGTCCTGTTCACCCATGATCTATTAATGGTCACTTACCGGTAATTTACCAGTACTGTATGTGTGAAAGCTAAGTGTATTGTCACACCCCTAGTGTCGATAAGCAGTGATAAAGCTCATAATTTTCCAAGTGTATGATACAGCTTTCATTCTTCAGGTCAACCATATATTCATGAAAAAAAAAAAATCAGTTTGAATAAAGAAAGCAATAACTTTGCCATAGTATCCTTTCAAATGTTAAAGTTGCCACAGTCATTGCATGCTTTGCATGTGCTGCCCCGCCCCCGGAAAAAAAATGCAGGCTCTGGATTTTTTTTCGCTTTAACCCGATATTATATATATATATATATATATATAATTAGTTTAGTTGTAATTTTTACAGTGTACACTCATCTTCATTGTGCGTGTGTACTGTAGTAAATGCAGAGCTTGAGAGGTCTGGATAAGGGTCTTGAGTGATTTGTGTAAATCCAGTGAAGAGGGCTAAGCTTTCTTCAGGCAGAGTAAATCTCCCTCTTGGTTAAATGGGACAATCCGTTTGATCTCATTGTTTCTATGTTTGAACACAGGGGGCGATGTGCAGCTTCTTAACCAGCTTTTTTACTGCCACAAGTAATTTTTAGCCCATGCTGAAAGCAAAAATGCATGGGATGTTTAATGTGTCGCTATGGGGAGCAGGGACCAATGAGATTTCACTGTGTCCTGTGGGCGGGGCTACACAATGCAATGTGACATGTGGTTCACAAACATTTTGATTCGAAGCCCCCCACTGTCACATTATTTAAAGACTCCAAAGATATTCTTCCAAACAAAACAGATCGTTTTCAAAACTTTTTTTTTTATTAGCTTTGTTGATCTATTAAATAAATTAACCACAATTAACTGTGTGATTCTAGAACCTTCAAGAATGGTATGTTCGTTTGTAAGTTTTTTAAAGGAAAAGAAATATAACAAAAAAATTATGATTTCATGTCTCGATTTGATATGTTTTGGCATTCAAATTAAATTAGATTATTTTAATAACATTTATTTTAATTAATTTAAATGAGGCCCCCTGGTTGAGAACCACTGTACTCAAGTCAAACTGGACTGATGTTTCTGCCATCAATCGACATCTTTTTTTCTCTCCTTTAGATGTTCTTTGTCTTTTCTAAGTAATATTATTTCCTGGCGGCATTGATTCTGTTTTCGCTGAAACTGACGTAAATGTTAAGCAGTATGTTTGTATCTAGTGGACACATTTGTACATTGTAGTCAAGTTCCATGAACAAACTAAATAAGATTAGTGGCACTAATTCAATTTCTTTCAGCAAAACTCATGGTTGGAAACGAGTTAAAGATGCTTCCGTCATCTTTTCGTGTCTCGGCATCTACAACTTAAAAATCACGTAAATGCACACTAGCACTCAAATTTTGGGGTCAAATTTGTTTATGTTTTTGAAAGAAGTCTCTGCATTTATTTGATCACAAATACAGTAAAATCAGTAATATTGTTAAATATTATCTAAAATAACTTTAATACTTGCATATATTTTAAAATATAATTGATTTTTGTGATCAAAGCTAAATTTTCATTCATCATTACTCCAGTCTTCAGTGTTACATGATTCTTAAGAAATCATTCTAATTTGCTGCTCAAGAAACATGTCTTATTATTATCAATGTTTAAAACAGTTTTTTTGTAATGAATTGGACATTCATATTTGATCAGGCTTTGTAATCTCTTCATTCCCCAGCATCTTGTGTTGTTGGCACACATAAGATTACATAAAAGCACATGTAGAGAGGATGTGAGTTGGATTGTCAGGCTCTGAATCTAGGACAGAAGCATGTTGATGAAGTTTATACAATTTTAGATGATTTGAACACAATCCTGTTTTGAGAGGGCCGTCAGCAGCAAATGGTAAATCTGCTGGCCCGCCAATTGCCCTTTGGGGTCGAGGGAATCCTCTGTGACAGTGAAGGATTACATCTTGTTAACTTGCTTAAATGTAACATCTTAAGTGGCCGAGTCAAAGTAATCCCGTCTGAGAACAGCCCTGTGTTAGCCGCTGCTTCAATTATTACCTGTATGGATGTCTCATTTTAACATCAGAAACTCACTGTTATACGAAAGACGGTAGTATTTGCATTTTTTGCAGTATTTATGTTTTCACTCTTATTCATGGAGATACTATACACTTGTTTTATACATAGTTATTGAACTTACTTTTCCAAGTACAATTAAGGGTTAGCGGAGTTCTTTATTTACAGCATTTGTAACAGCATTAGCTAATGCTTGTCAACCAATATGGACTGTAAAAAAACAAGTCGGCTCTCTTTAGCAAAATATTGCATTATTAGTAAATGGGGACGTTCACACAGCACACGTTCTTGTGTTCCACTACAGGTACATTCATAATGTGACAAAAAAAAATGGGATATTTGGTGAAAATATCCATATCATAGTGCAAGTTTGCTAAAACAAAGTCTAAATTGTTAACTAATTGGCTATCGATATATATTTCTCTACTGCAATGTAAGTCGCTTTGGATAAAAGTTTCTGATAAATGCATACATTTAAAGCAGGGGTGTTAATTAAACACACCTGAACCAGCTAATCAAGCTTTAGAGACTAGAAACTTCCAGGTAACTGTGTAAGAGCTGATTGAACGTTGGCCCTGGTTGTTTTACAGGGTAAGTTCACCTATTTTCAACCAGCTTTGCATTATTATCATGTCAGTAATATAAGTAAATAAACAATGTGTATTATTTTTCTGTTATCTGCACCTTTATTGGCAGCAAAATTCCTGCAGATGATTTGTGAAAACCACAAATCATATTTTGCATGGATAGTCTGATTGAATCCAGTGCATTATTGTTTACATTTTCATACACAGCCCTTTTTCTGTAGTAACGTAGCACAGATTTTCAAAAAAATAAAAAATGTTTTGCATTACCATTTTAAAACATTTCTAAATCAGAACAGGTTTATGTGCTGTTGAATAACATGCCCTGATTTTGTGCACAAAAAGTCCAGGAATATGTAATGAATTTGACTTTAAAAGTTTTTCATTTTCAACATTGTTATTAGTTACTATTTTAAAAACAGGATGCTCATAACGTAAGGTGCCGAAAAAACAACAAGATGTCATGCCAATGCCAAAAACCCAACATTTAAAATGGTTGAAACAATGCAAGAATGTGTCCTGTGTGAACAACCCCATTTGGTCTCCAAAATGCAAATTAACAAAAATATTGAAAGATTTTAGTGCATTTTTACTATGGTGAATCCAAAGATTCAATGTGAGCTTGACATCTAGATCCAGCATTCAAATTCGGATGAATCAAACATTATATCAATCATCCAACAAGCTTCTCGACCCTTTCAAGGGCATTTGCTGAGTTTATGTTGCTTTGGGCCTCGTCCAAATATCCCTTTTTATCCTTCGCCCCGCTCATCTCTGATTTCCAAGAGACTGGCTCCCGTAAAGAGACGCTCCTTTGAGACTATCCGACACCGAGGAGGAAGTTTGAGTTTATTCGCGCTGGCATGGAAAGTCTAGATGTGAGTTGTTATGTCATTAATACCAACTGAACATATAATGCAGAGTCATTCTGAGCTCAAGTTCTGTTAAATTAATCCTCCTTTTGGGGATGAGTTGAAATGATGTTCAACAGTGCTCATAACAGAGCTTCCATAAATCGTCTTACACAACAGGAAAAGGTAATATGACTCAAGCAGTTCATCATACAGTATATATTTCCAAGTGACCTTTCAGAGTCCAAAAACTTTGGAAAAGAAAAATAAAACGAGGCTTCCAATGAAGTTCTAGTGATGCCATGGTTATAGGTTTGATTCCCAGGGAATGCGAATGGTTAAACGTGTGTGTATGTATATATATATATATATATATATATATATATGCAGTGGAAGTCACTTTGGATAAAACCGTGTTGTCATGTTATCAGATTCATAATATCAGTTAGCACAGTATAATCTGTTTTGAAAAGTCACGTCTGCATCACGAGAACATGCACAAAGTCTTTTTCTGGTGCACGACTCTTGTCCATGTATGTTTTCTTTGGTCTTGGCCCATCATACACTGTCAGTAAAGAATCATATAAGGTGGCCAAGCTTCACCTTCTTACCTTCTGTCTTTTCTTAGACGTCCCGTGGGATAGTAGATGTCGGCCCAGGACTGTTGGGCACTGAGGGGCTGTTATTGGAGCTGGATGTGGGGAAGAAGGAGGGGATGTAGGGGATGGTGGCCAGCAGCAGAGGGCTCATCTGGGGCTGTCGTCCGACGGTAAGGGGATCACCACATCGTCCTGGTCCCACACGTGGAAGGCGTTGGTATGGGACAGAGACAGAGCTGCGGGCAGACGGGTGGGTCTGATGCTC